ATAGTTATTTTCGTTTCAAATATGTCCCTTTTTGCACCAACCAATGTGTTTCGACCAAATTTAATTTTCAAGTATGAAAATATACTGCAATTACAAAATAAATAAGAAAGAAGAATTCTATTACAAACCTGTTGATTTCTTAATTCTTCTCTCTTAAGATTTCTCCGTATTCAAGGATCGTTAGTGACATATTTTTTGAACTATGATGATTTGTCGATCTTGAAGTATTTTGATAGTAAGAGTGATATATTTTGATCTCTTTATGACTAATTCAAAGTTTATGAAATATTTGAGATGTCTCGTGAATAAAAAGCTACAAGTGAACAAATTCAAATAGAAAGCTCCAAGAAGACACCTCTATCTTGACAAATTAATTAGTTCATGTTTGAGGTATGATCATGTGCTAAGATATATCACTTTGTTATGTCGGAAATTTTAGAGTAGTTTTCACCTATAAATACACACAAAGTTCAAATAATGAATGGGGACACAACAATATAGTTTACATACATGTGGTAATGGGGACCTACCCCTACCAATTGCACACATAGGTAGAGATAGCTAGAGAAGTCGATGGCATCGGAAAATCACATTGTATATAAGACTATAATAATTATGAGTAACAATTATCGACTTTCATATTGTTGGTAAGGTGAGAGCTTCAAGCTCAATTTCTGATGACACACCCTTCATACAAGCACCTCTTTTTAATGTCTTAGATGATAAAGTCTTTTGATGAAAATTCTACCTTCGATGTTGATTATGGTAATTAATATGAATAAACAGAAGAAAACAAATGATGAATACGTATTTCTCCATAGGTATCGTAGCAAATATTTCGTATTTTTTTTCTCTACTTTAATTAGGTTATCGTACTAATTAATATAAATCAGTGGATTTATGATAAATTATACTGAAGAATAAATGGTATCATTCGATCGATAAGATGATTCAGTTTCTAGTTAGCTAACTGAAAATTCAATAGAGAAATTTGCTTTTATGATCTCTTTTAAAATTAATATTTGAAGATTAATTCATATAAGTATTTACTTATCAAATTGATCCATTATATTATTTTAAATTCAAGATTGTAATATGAAATTTGAAAACAAAGATTTTAGGATTTTTTTTTTCAAGTTTTCGCTCAACAATCTTTTACTTTATCAATGTTCAAACGCAGTCTCAACTTTCACACTCAAATCAGGGTCAAACATAACTTCAACCGTGTTTTTATGTTTATACACAATTTAAATTCTCAAAATACCTTAACTTCAACTTTTTTTGAATCCTCAAACACAACTTTAACTTTTAAATACCCCTTTTAAATTTAACTTCAAATTCATTTTTTTCTCAAATATCAACCAATTCGTGTTGGAAAAAATCCAAAAAGAGACCAAACAAATAGTACCATTTTGCATAGCATGCAAGGACCTAACTCTATAAATACATATGGTGCAATAAATAGATGCACGTACAATAATATGTTGTAATGGACCAACATAAAGACAATTAATTAAAATTCATTGTAGTACTCCATATATACATACAATAATAATATTATAATAATAATAATATTATAATGATAATAATAATCCACCTTCCAAGTTGACAACATTCCAAACTACTTACATTATATTTCTGGATTCACTTCACCACCTTAGTGGAAACATACACCATCTGCTTCTAACGTGCTCATGTCATGCTATTAAAAAGAAGAAGATAAAAGTGACCTAATGTTAATCTTAACGTGGTGATAAAATTAGTTCATGGAAATATGATGCGCTTAATTCGTTGATCAAGTTTCTGTACATTTGTTAATTCAAGTCATTTTAGAGATCGACAAATCAAGTCTCTCATAATCACAAGGGCGGGATGGTTGTTGTATACGAGACAATTCTAATTCAGTCATATTGCATAGACGAATCATGATTTTGAAGTTTATGATTTCCAATGAAAAAAGAATTAGTATATCTAGTATCTAAAGTGCCAAAGGGGAGGAAGAATTTGTATATCTAGTATCTAATGAATCTAAATTGAGTCCCTATGTGAATACTTTGGTGATATATTAATAATAAAGTTTTCAAAAGCTTGAATTGAAAATTATTAATTTAGAACATGCTATGTTGGTTGACAATAATGATATCAATATAATCATTTCTGACACTACTAAAAAGTTACTATTTTTCAATTATAGAAAATGCTTGGTGACTATTTTCATAAAATATTTTGATTGAATTGGTGAGGAAAAAAATAGTAATGTTTTATACGGAAAAATTAGAAAGCTCTCTACTATTTCAGTGATACTTTGTTATCCACTATGTTTTTTTCTATTGTTATAATTCGATAGAAAATTAGTAAAAAAATGTATATTTTATAGAACAAATTCTCAATGAATCGTGCGGAAAAATTTCTATTTTTACTAGTTATTAGTGTGTGCGATTTCTAAAAATTCAAAATTCTACTAGTCAACACCAACATACACGATCATCATCGTTAGTCATTACCACCATCAATTACCATATAAAATTTTAAAATATTTTATTGATATAATATTAGATTAATTTAGTTTTTTTTTTTAATTTTATATTTATTATTTTTTAAAGGGAAAAGGGTCAAATATGCCCCTAAACTATGCGAAAATGTCTAGATATACCCCCGTTTGAAGTTTTGGCTCATTTGTGCCCTCGTCGTCCAACTTTTTGCCCATATATGCCCTTGTAGACGTTAGTTGTTGTGCTGGAAATAACCAATTCATTTTCCCTTTCTTTAAATAACAAATGGAATTGCGACATTACCACGTTGCATTTATTTATATTTAAAAAATGAATACACCTCTTTTAAATAGGACATCCGACCCGTAAATCATATCCAACCCAAGGTAGCAGGAGTTTCAATTCCTCCGACCAGATCTAAAATGAGATAACATTTGACATCTGAAATACAACTATTTTTGGGTCGTTTGCTAGCTGTCTTGCCAGACTAGTGAGGTGTGTGGGTTGGTGTTTTGTCGGCTACCTTGGGGGTGGTGTTCTGGAGCTCGTGGTGATCGGAGCTATTTGGTGGTTGTTTGTCCGAGGTTGTGAAAATTATTGAGCTCATTGGAGCTCTATTGTTTGCTTATAGTTAAAGCTCGAAGCTCACCTTTAATGGTGTTTTTCTTTTAGGAGAAAGCGATGGGTTTGGTTAGAGATGACGTTTCTCAAATCAAAGGGATTTGGGTCATATATGATTTATCGGCTTATGTGAAATATCCACCAAAGAAATTTGGGTCGGATAGGATTTACGGATCGAATATTCTATTTAAAAGAGGTGTATTCATTTTTTAATATAAATAAATGACATGTGGTAATTAAAAGGGGATGTGGCAATTTCATTTGTTATTTAAAGAAATGAAAAATGAGTTGGTTATTTTTAGCAAAGCAACTAACGTCCACAAGGGCATATATGGGCGAAAAGTTGAACGGCGAGGGCACAGATGAGCCAAACTTCAAACGGAGGGCATATCTAGACATTTTCGCATAGTTTAGGGGCATATTTGACCCTTTTGTCTTTTTTAATTAAGGATAAATTTATACATTCGGATGTTGAGTAAATGAGTAATCTTAATACTTAGATGTGTATTTAGATTCAGGCGTCTTAATCTTAATATAAACAAATGAGGTCTTAATAGCTCTTATGGACCTGATGAACTCTTTGTGGGAACCAAACTAAAATCTGTTGGGATATTATGGGCCTTGATATTAACCAAGGTTTTATTGTGATGTGACCTTAAGGTAGCATCCCCTCAACATTTCTATGATATTAGGCCCATTAGTTTGTTGCAATGTAAAAAGTAAAATCTTTGCTAAATTGCCCAACTCTAGGTTGACTAAGCTATTTTTTAAGAAAAAATTACCTAAATTTATAACTTAGTTTTTCATATTTTTTAAATTTTCTACCATTTGAAAAATTATAAAAATTCCTACTCTCTCCTATTCTTTGATACATCACTTTACTCAATGTATCGGTTGGATACATCACTTTACGCAATATATCAGTTGAATACATCACTTTACGTGATATATCGGGACGTTGAAGGATGCATCCGAAATCAAAATGCGGTGTATCGAGACGTTGAACGATGTATCCAGAACATGGATGCGATCTATCGAGACGTTTTGGGATGTATTCGGATTCCACCGAATTTAAGAGATTTTTGCAATTCGAAAAAAAGTAGAAATAAGATATAATTAGCTCTTAACACTAAAAAAATTGTGTAAAATTTTCATTTTTTAACTTGGTCAGTGGAAATCATAGTGGTTTTATTAAAATGAGATGCATTATCAAAATATTTTGTTGACTCAAGAAATTACTTTAAGACATATGCAAACTTAATGATAACACAAATGTTATTTTGAAGCTTGATATGGCTAAATGCCTAAAATTTATAGCTGACTTTTATGATTTTTTATATGTAATTTTAATGACGAGAATGAGATTATGTGAAATTCAAATGAACATTAGCTTTTAGATACTTTTTATTAATTGGTATTCTCTTCCATACATGAAAATTCTTTTTCAAATTAGAGAGGAGTACAAAACGGGAATACCTTATTTCTCATTTACTTTTTACCTTATGTATTTAATTATGAACAAATAAAAAACCTTTCAAGAATATCAATATTATCACGTGAATCATAAATACATGAATGTGATATACCAAGAAATCAACCGTTCCTAATGGAATAGGCAACAAATGCGATATAGATACATGATACATCTATGTACAATTATAATTTTTAATTAGTTATTTACATAATTGCTTTGTTCGATTTTTCAATTATTTTTCTACTTAAAATCAAAATTAATAAATTATTAATTTTTAAAATTAAAAATTAAAACCACATTAAACCAACAAAATATTATTTGCTTTCTCGATTTGATTCGATTTTCGAAACCCCCAACATTAGAATAAGTAAATACTATATAGTAGAATAATATTCTTTTTTGTTAAAAAAAATCCACGTGAAATCAGAAAATCGGGTCATCGGCTCCGCCCAAAGTTAACGGCATGTGCCGCCGCGAAAACGTCGCCGACACGTTCGCCATTTAGCAAACGTTTTTCACGACTATATAGAACTCCGCCGCCGTGAATAGATTTTGTACTGAAACCAAATTGTTAGATCAATGGCGACAAATGCTAATTCAATTCCAAATCCTGTGATGTTACCGGAGATTGGACCTGACGGCATCGCTAGAGAATCACCGGTCATTGCTTACACTGAAAAGGTATTTTCTCTGATTTTGTGTTTGATTTCGGAAAATTGTGATTATACGCATTGTTTGATTCTCGTGTTCGTGGTTGTTGCAGATAATTGAAGAAGAACAGCTTCAATTGAGAAAGTAAGTTGACTTCTAAATTCAGCATTGCTTGTTTCTATTGCATTTTACTGAAATTTACTTAATTATCTTCCCTCGAGAGTTAGTAACTGCTTCTTTGGATTCTCTTGAGTACACATTGTTTGATTCTGTTGATACTAAGTCGATCAATCATTCAGCTAATGCTTAATCTCAACTGGATTGGGTCCATTTCTATGAATTCCACTCTATTGATTAGATACTGGTAAATAGATCAATTAGCAGCAAAGTGTGTGACCTAGATATCCTGTATAGAAATAGTTGAAGTATTGACTGTTGAGAATAGGGACGGCATGAAGGGCATGGATCGTGTGGCCTGCTTAGTGCAGTAGTGGTAGTTCTATTTGCCCGTTTTTTCTTTTCTTGATTTGTAAAGCTCTCACTTAGTAATAAATGCAATTATTTACTTACCAAAAAAAAGTTGGTTTTGGTCTTCTGTAATTTTAAAAAGAACAAGAAACGGAAAATCTAGTCAATCAATCAACCAAGGATCCATGATATGAACTATTTGTATACATTTCTATATTTGGACTTATCTCATTCGAACGTAGGATCTTTGGATACTAGTACAATCGTTAAAGGTTTACCAAGAATGCAAGGTTAACATCAATTTCAAAAAAAGAATGCAAGGTTAACAAAGCAAAGTATGCCCTCACTTTGGAGTACACGACAAGAGATGATTAGGGAACAAAAAAGTTGAATTTTATTAAAGGAATGTGGGTAAGAAATTGGGAGAAAATAGCGTGCAAATTAGGTCAGACACCATGTATCCCAACTTAAGAAATTTGAGAGAAAATAAGGTGATTTAGCATATACCAGGATATAGTAATGAATTCTGATGACCATAATAATTCACAAGGTTTGATTGGGCAGTTATACACAGTTAGGAAATAGAAATCTTGGGAGCAATTTACAAATAAATCATCTATTTTATGTAGTTTCAAATAATGAATACACTGGTTGATATTTAAACAGAAACTATTCAATAAATCACTATATTGGATAGAATAGTGTGGTTTAAAACACTAGGTGATTCTTCCATCTGGCCTAGCTTTAGTGGACAGAGTTATTTTGTACCTGTTATTGGTGGGAGGTGGCAGGTATCCCGTGGAATTAGTTGAGGTGCGCGACCCGGAGACCATGGTCATAAAAATATAATAATATATAAATAGTACGTGCGGTTTATCTATGAGGAAAATATATGACATGGAAACCTATTATCAAGGAAAAGGTAGATTGTTTCTTTGAAATAACTTTTATTTTGGAATATTTAATTTGTCATTATTAAATTAACAAATTGGAGATCTTGCATTGATTTTTAACAGATTAGAGATCTTTCAAACAAATTGAAGTTGTGATAAAAGAATAGTCATGAAAAATGAGTATCTTTGGTCACTTTCATTCTCAAATAGGCTTTTTCTTCGCATACCTTACAAATTGAAGTTGGGATAAAAGAATAGTCATTCATTTTGCCAAATGAAAACATTGTAGTGGAGAGATTTTTTCTAGGAAAATTTGTTTTCATGCATAGGGTACTCTTTTTCAACCTGCAGATCTTTGTTTGGTAAATTTCTGGATGTTATGCCAATGTTGAGTCCATGTACTAGCTTGTGTGCACCTTGCCTATATGTTCTAGTTTCTTTTTTTCTGGTGAACACATTGTCAGAGGTAATTATTTGTAATTGAATGCTTGAATGGAGGCTTAAGTTTCTACAGAAGTAATGGAGGTGTAAGCATGCATTTATGTTGTCTCCTGCATCAGACTGCTTTTCCCCATCAGATGGCCTTCCCAAGTTTCATATGCATGATAATTTTCTCTGTTCTGTTATATCCTTCCAGATATATTGCTGAAAATTATTCCAAGATCCGTGATGTCGAAAAGGAATTCGCAAACCTGTCAATGGAGATGAAGCTTACTGCTGGCCCCAAAAAAGCAGGTTTGTGACTTGTCAATGCTACTTCGTTGAGCACTTGTATCTCTTGACACAATAGTTGATTTAAGTGCTTCCTCTGCTCCTTCAGCACTTGAACTCATGAGACAGAAAATAGAAATGTCAACAGAGAGAATCCGTGTTGCTAAGCTGAAGGAAGAACAAGCACGAAAGGTTTGTCTAACCGTTTGCACCCCCTCTCTCTCTTTATGTTTTACCTCAACAGATCAAAGGCTCCAATTCCATTTTTTCTACCATTAAAGAGAGTTAATTATTTCTTTGTCAAATCATATGCCTTGCAGTAACATTGTTTTTCTTTTTACATATATCTCTCCCTTGGATGTGTGATATCCATATGTGCCACTAAAGAAAATGTTAGTACTGATATCTCATGGATCTTGTCTGAGATAGATGAGCTTATTTAGTTTAGTATGTTTACATAATATTTACGATGTGTGTGGTTGAACGGACGGAGAAGAAAGAAGATATGATGTCATCCAACAATAAAGAAAAACAAAAGGCAAACGAGAGTAGTCTTCTTCATGTTACACATAAAGAAAAAAAAGGTGAAAAAGATATGAACTTCGAACAGTTAGAGGTCAATAAAATAATTTAAATGGGTATCTTATTATTTCTTAAAAATTCAGTTTAAAACAAAAATTACATTTCAACAAAAGTTTAATGAAAAAATCATTTAAATTGGTTGGCTGGCTTTCTAAGTGAAATACCATTAGTTGAGTGACTTTCTAAAAGTGAACCATTTAAAGTGGAGTGACCATTTGAGATATTAACTCTTTAGAACCATCCAGTGTAATGAACCCAATTAGGAGCAAATAGTTTTAAAAGAAAAAATTGCAGAATTGCCCAACAGAATCCCCTAAGCAGGATCATTCAAGAAATCCCTCCGCGGCTCAGACAACGAGCCACTTATGAGGAACCTCGCGAAGTTCAGAAATTGACAATGTGGTAAACTGAGAAAGAGACATTAAGGTCTAATATGCTGTAGAAAAGTTGGGGACAATAGTAGGATTAGTTTTTGGGCACATAATTAGTGTAGGAAGACAAATTAAAGGCAGTCTTTCCTATTTTTTGTAGGCTCACCTGTCCTAAGAGTTTGGATTGGTCTTTTTAGTTACCCCCACCGTTCCTATTAAGTGTCTTAGTTTGACTGGACACGAAATTTAAGAAATAAATAGAAAATTTTGAATCTTGTACTCTTCAATTAAAGATGTGTGAAGTCTTTTGAATTTTGTGGTCTTTAACTTGTCACTTAGAATGTTAGAATTAGAAAACTTACTAAATATAGAAAGAGACACTCTTTGTGAGACGAACAAAAAAAAGGAAATGACATTTAAATTGGAATAGAGGGTGAATTTATTTATGTTTTGTTTCTTTTTGGGATTTTAAGACAATTTTCTTTAAATGTCGATACTGCTTATAAAAGTTCTGCGTACGCCACTGCTTGGAGGTTGCTGGGGGGATTAGAAGTCCTTGTGGATATCCTAAAGGATAGGAGAAAGATGAGGAGGAGCAGTATAAGAGAAAGATGAAGGGCGTGAAGCAATAAATGAGAGGAATTAGGAAGCTGATGATTCACAAAGTTTAGGATGCGCTGGAAATGTAGAGGCAGGGGATGAATGATAACAGAAACACATGTTCATGGAATATTATATCTTTGGAGTACGTAACAGAGTGACTAGAGTCACTAGACAACCCTAGCATTATCTTCATCACTCTTCTATCCTCAGATACCGTCTGTCACCTTAAATGAGCATCTAACCTCTACGTTTACCTGCTGTCTAAATTTTTTGTGTCAGTCACTGCCAGCTACTATTCCTCCAAAAAAAAAAGTGGCTTAGCACTAAATCACATTTTAGCTGGTTTTGCTATTTGTCAATTTGTGCGCTGAAAGTCATTGTCTGGTGTTGAGGTTGGAGGGACCTCTATTAACAGGTGTAAAGAGTATCTTTTGTCTTCTCTTTGACTTTCATAATGAAGATTTGGAAGTCTAGGTTTTCTAATTCAAGTTGGAATGAGAGTTTTTTTCCTTGACAAAAATCTGTCGTTCCTTCTTGAATTAGAAAACCTAGACTTCTAGTATTGGCAGTGTGAAGAAGAAGTTTATAGTAACTTTTAGAAGTATGAACTGATTCATTCCCAAGAAAATTATATCAAAGGTAATGGATGATTTTTTTCTGAGGTTCATCCTGTCACTTTTTTTAGGATTCAGTAATTTCCCACCACACCATGTCGTTTTATAATCAGTCTAATGAGAGCATTACTTCTCTTGTAATGTGTTTTTGCTCCCATAATATGTTTTCAACAGTCTAAGAAACAGACGGAAGAAGTAAAAAAAGGCTCTAACGTGAGACAGGGAACAGCAAAATCACAGTTCTCAGCTTAAGAAATTGTAATGAAATGTCCATTGCTTATGTGGCTTACTTATCAAAAAACTGATAATGACTTCTAGGCTTGGGAAGCAGCATCACAGGCTGTTAAGGACGAGGAGGCGATCAAGCAAAAGCTTTGTGAGGATTTGAATAGTCTGGTATTTTTTCTTCTGTACTATTACATTTGCAATAGTAGGTTGTGTGAATATTTCTGAAATCAAATTCGCTTTTGTAGGTTCTGGAAAGTAGTAACAGTCAGCTTGCTAGATTGGAGGAACTGAAAAGACGGCTGGAAGCTTTGAATCCAAGTAGAGCATCCACTGCCTCTGTAAGAATTCTTTCATATCTGTGTATTGTATGTGTATTTCGGAATTCTATTAGGTTTTCAGTATGTTTGTGGACGCTTTTTATCCTTTTCTTTTTCCAGATGGATCTCTTTTTATCCTGTTATATAGTATTTCTTTCTTGACATTCTTTATCTGTGCATGAAAGAATGGGGTACACAAACTGATGTTAACCTTCTGTCGTCTTAAGTTATTGGTGCTCTCAGTAATTTTGTCTTTGACCAATTCTAATGTCCAGCATAACAAGCAGTCATGTGCAGTAACCAACTGGTTGATTCATTATAAGATTGCTTATAGAACAATCTTGCAAAAGGGGAATATGGTGAGAAACATTTGGGAAATGGAACACATTATTTGGTAATCTCACCTTTGACTTTCACAATTTGAAAAATAGCTTTCGTGGATATGGGGCTGAATACTTGGCTTGATTCTGCTGGCAGCTCAGAACTAACAATCACTTTTTAATTTGTGAAGTATTTCAGAATTCTGTTTGAATGTCGAATGCGTCTTTCCTTCTTTCTCCTCCTTTTCCTTTGTTGTGACCATTCACTTAGTAATTTTAACCTCAGTATTGCGTGCCGTGGCAGCCATAAAATTATATCTTTTGGTTGCTGAAATCTGCACTATGCCTTGCCTGTATAGATATTAGAAACCTCCATGTTTTCCCACCTTTTCAGCCACATATTCTTATTACCATATTTATTTGCTTGTAGATTGCTATCCCACTTGTAAGGTATTTTAGAACCTGAGCAACGATTTCCATATGAGTATGAGCAGAATATATGCCAGACAGTAATATTACTACATGTACCTAAACTAGAAACTACAATGTTTGACTGAAAAATTTACCTATCAAGGATATGAATTGTAGAGTTTCTTGTATTGCTTTTTTTCTACTTTTGAATCTTATTTGGACGATATGGATAAAATAGCACACTGCGGTGATATAATGCTTGTTTCATTCCGTGCTTAATATGACTTCCTAACCAATGCCTATGGCTTTTTTCATGTGTGGTCTCAGGACCAAAGTCCTGTGGGATCTGTACAAAACAGTATGGCTCAAGATGTTTCCTCAGTAAAGGATACACAAGAATCGTTGAGCAGATCATCTGGAAATACATTGAAAGAAGGAAATGCTAGAAGTGGTGCAGCAGAAAATGGACAAAACCAATCGCATTCTCTTGATGAAACAAGAGCTAAGAAGAAAATCAATTTACAAGGAAGAGGAAAAGGAATCGGTATAATTCCCAAAGGCCGAGGTTCACAAGGACCTGGCTGGACCGGAGCTGGGTTCGATGTGGATGGCAGAAGTTGATAGCAGAATTTCTCACTGTTTAAGTTCATTGGAATAAGAGACTTGCTGTTTCTCAATGAGGTAGATCATCCAGTCCAAAATTATCAAATTCTTTCACTCTCTTATTCCTTGCTTGTGAAATATCATTTCTGAAAATTCTAATGACTTGTAAATACTTTGAAATATATAGTTTCTGAATCTTTCTTGTTTAAATTGATTTTAGTTTGTGTTAATCTAGTTCAGCACCTCGTTTTGCACCTAATAAATGTGATGTAGATAGTCTACTCTGAGTCCAATGGGTGTGATGTAGTCACTCTACTCTAATGTAAACATTATTGACAACTTTCCATCTCGAACACATGACTTGAAGGTCATATGAAGACAACTTTACTGTTGTTCTAAAAACCCCTTCAAATAAAATGATTGATATAGAGAAATTAATTTGAAGTTATTTGGGAATATATAGTTATGTTAAATTTAGATTTTCATGAACTTTTGGCGATAGATACATTCATACGATAAAGGAATATGGTGTTTGTACTTATCGTGTCTTTTGGTTGTACATGTTTTCAAATGTGAAAGACTAGTAAATTTCTTGAAAAACTCACAAGTCATGAAAAGACTTTGATGAAAAGTTATAATTGAATCTTTCGACTTGTCATATTTAAACGCTTGAACAAAGGAGACGCTACGATGTCACCCTCTACCATCATTGCTCTTCCCACACCGCGTTATGCATCGATGTGAAATCATGGGATACAAAACTTCATGTGACACTAAGATTAAAATGATAAGGGACTTAAGTATTGAAACGATCCATCGAATTTCAAACCAGAGCAATTTCTTATTGACTCAAGCTTGGATTACGAAAACTAAGACTTTGAGTTCATTTCATTTGGTTAAAAAAAAGAGTTGGTTCTTCAAGGATGTTGCCTATGATTATTTATTTATTGGTTCTTCACAAAAACATGGACCATATTCAGATGAACATTGGATGAAATTATAGATGTCACTATGGGAAAAAAAGAGACCCACTCTTTGTCACACCAAAAATGAGAAAATAATTTACTCCATTCGCTAAAAAAATTCTCCTAATTAATTTGTGTGTTATTTTAATGTGAGATAAATAAATAAATTACTAAATAATCTGAAATGTGCTACTTCCCGGTTAATGATTTTGGAGCTTGTAATTTTAAATTATATATATATATATATATATATTATATCCTTTAATTTTATGAATTTAAACATGTCATCTACATTAATTATTGTCAAAATATACATAATCGCTTTTGTCAGGTAGTGCTTTATCTTTTAATGTGAAACTTTTCAACGCGAATTCAAATTTAATCGGACTCCAATGTGAATACCAAACACTGAATAAGAAATTAAAAAATATATTTGAAAATAAAAATTGTTCTTTAAACAAATTAAAAAGTATAAAATAAATAAATTGAACAGAATAAAGTATAATCCAAAGAGATTTTAATCTATTAGCTCTAAAGAAGTATTTATTGTTATTTTTATTTTTATTTTATTCCTGAAGCTCTCACTTTTGCTCTACGTGACTTGATCTCATAATTTAAAAAATGAAAGTGAGAAGCTTAACATCCGAGCAACTCCCCGTGGGCTTTAAATTTTTGCCTTCACAAAAGGAAAAACAATAAGATGGGCCAAGAGAGTATCGGGAAAACCCAGATTCCAAGAAATAAATTTGGGGAAAAAGAAAAGAATTTGTAAAGACTTTGCAATCAGTTTTTTCTAGTGTCAGAGTTACAGTAGTTTCTAGAGAATCAGCAATGGAGAGACTTCGATGTCAGAGGATCGGTTGCAACGCTACCTTCACTGAGGATGATAATCCTGAAGGCTCATGCACTTATCACGATTCCGTTTGTCTCGCACTCCGTTTAATCTTTCTGATTCAATTACTTTTTTGTTTGCTGGTTGATTCGTTGTATTCACTTTAGTGTTAATCTCTTGAAACTTCATTGTTGAAATTCCTTTTTGGGATGTGGGGTTAGTTTGCTTTTACCATTCTTGTTGTTCTGATAGCTCATGGGTTACTGGGTATAGCATTTGAGCTGAAGTAGGTTCATGTATTTTGCATTAACTTCAGTGACTTGAAAGTTCATTGTGATAAATCCCTTTTTGGGATGTGGGGTTTGTTTGATTTTACCATTCTTATTGTTCTGATAGCTTAAATGACATGGGTATAGAGTTTGAGCTGGAGTAGGTTCATGTATTTTACATTCACTTCAGTGATAATCTGTTGAAACTTCTTTGTGAATAATCCCTTTTTGGGATGTGGGGATTGTTTGCTTTTACCATTCTTGTTGTTCTGATAGCTTAAATGACATGGGTATATAATTGGAGCTGGAATTGATTCATGTATTCAGTAGTCACTTCAGTGTTAATCTCTTGAAACTTCATTGTGAAAATCCCTTTTTGGGATGTGGGGTTTGTTCGCTTTTACCATTCTTGTTGTTCTGATAGCTTAAATGATATGGGTTTAGAGTTTGAGATGGAGTAGGTTCATGTATTTTGCATTAACTTCGGTGATAATCTGTTGAAACTTCATTGTGAAAAATCCCTTTTAGGGATGTGGAGTTTGTTTGTTTTTACCATTCTTGCTGTTCTGATAGCTTAAATGACGTGAGTATAGAATTTGAGCTGGAGTAGGTTCATGTATTGTGCATTCACTTCAGTGAAAATCTCTTGAAACTTCATTGTGAAAATCCCTTTTTGGGATATGGGATTTGTTTGCTTTTACCGTTCTTGCTGTTCTGATAGCTTAAATTACATGGGTATAGAATTTGAGCTGGAATAGGTTCATATATTCAATCCAGTGTTAATCTCTTCAAATTTCATCATGAATATCTCTTTAGGAATGTGGGTTTTTCTTATCCTCACTTCTTGCTGTTTTGTCAGTTTAAACGACATAGGTTAGAACTTGAGCTGGAATAGCTTCATGTATTCAGTATTCACTTCAGTGTTAATCTCTTCAAACATCATTATGAAAATCTCTTTTGGGATGTGGGGTTTTTCTTTTCCGGCTTCATGTTTTTCTGTTAGCTTAGAAATGGCATGGCAATTGAATTTGAGCTGGGAATACGTTCCATGAATTTAGTGTTCACGTCAGTGTTAATATCTTCAAACTTAATCGTGAAAATCCCTTTTGGAATGTGGGGTTTTTCTTTTCCAGCTTCATGTTGTTCTGTTAGCTTAAGAATGGCATAGCTATAGAATTTGAGCTGGAATACGTTCATGTATTCAGTATACACTCAAGTGTTAATCTCTCCAACGTTCATAGTGAAAAACCCTTTTGGGATGTGGGGTTTTCTTTTTTTCCCATTTTCTACTGTTCTGTTAGCTTAAACGGCATACACACATAATTTAATCTGGAATCTCGTTTGGCCCAGTCGTTCTACCCCTACGCATACTATGAGTAACACCCTCAACCTCCTCAACCTTTATATGCCTATAATACAAATCCTGACGCCTGCTGCCCTAGTGCTCCAAATCCCCAGCACAATGCCTTTGTTCTCCACTCCATAGAGTTTATGGAAGTATGCCTGTCATCTCCGTCTAATGCGTGTCTCCTCCATCCTTAATGCACTTCACTTGGTCCAGGTCACAGGCCCTACTCTCTCTCGAGTCTCGCTTGGGCTAGCCTATATAACTTTTGTCCCCGCCCTTGTCCTCTGATTCCACATGCAAGCGTTCAAAAACTATCATTTTTGCCGCTGTAACCACTAACTTAGCCTCCTTCCTTACCACCTTATACCTTTCCCTATTCATCCATTTTTCCTTCTCACCCTTACTTTCCACCAACTTTGCGTATGCAACCTTCTTTACATTTACCTTTCCTATGACTTCTCCATTCCACCACCAGTCCCCTTGATGCCCACCAGTATCTATACGATGAGACAAATTTTTATCAACAATATTTCTATATTTTAGAACTTATCAAATCACCGATGACCACCCACCAAAGCAAAAAAACTAATTAAGAAATAAGATGCATGTACATGTACAATCCTGTTGCACAGATATAGCTATAGAATGTAATATCTGACTAATATCCAAGCAATCTTGTCACCTAAGAAAACCCTGTTTACTTTATCAAGAATCAGCAGATTGTCCTTTTGCTTACAGATCAGAAAAGACTGTCAACACAGTGTCTGGTGAATTTACTGCAGATACATGTAAAAAGATGGTTGTCAGTTGGAATATAAAGACCAAGGCAGGAATCTACTGAGACTATATAATTGTCATCTTAAGTATTAGATTAATGTTGCATTCCCATTCAGTTGAACACTAGTTATGCCTTACCTTTTAAACATTTGTTGACATGTTTGTTTTTCTTTTGCACGGACCGTTCTGGACGTGAATGCACTTGCTGGATCTTTTGGCATCAGGGTGTAAGTAAAATAAATTGTCTGATTTCTTATCTTGCATTCCAGATACCATAGCTTCTAAAACACCCAGCTAATCATCAAAGTTCTTGTTTGCAGCCTTTATTTCATGATGGAACGAAGCAGTGGAGTTGTTGCAAGAAAAAAAGTCATGATTTCAGTTTATTTCTTGAAATTCCTGGGTGGGTAACTTACGCCTTTTCCTTATTTTACTTGAAACTTTTTTGCCAGATAGTAGTACTATTTCTGTTTGCTAGAATCTGTTGAAACTGGTAAACTCCCGTTGAAGTATTAGTGAAGATTTGAATATGGTTATAGGTGACAATCAAATCATTGGACTAGAAATTGTTTACAGATCATCCTTTCTGAGGTGGTATATTATCATCTATCGCATGTATCATATATTACATGTTATATCCAACTGAGGTGATACTAGGTGAATTGTTCCTACTTTAAACCTTGATGGGCAGAGTTACTCGATGTCTGCGCGAGTGAGAGGTAACAAATTGAAGTCTTGAGGCGTGTTAGAAAAAGCATCTCTTCTTTGAAAGTAGACACAATATTTGGAGAATCCAATAAAAGAAGGTGGTCAGAGAAGTACTTTTCAGAGTTGAATTTGTAAGATGACTAGATTGAAATGACTATCATACATAATAATATGTTAGTTTATTATTGTAACTCATTGCTTTATAATGATAGCCTAGCTGGAAGCATTTCAGACACTTCTAGTTGAAGATTAGTTGTCAATTTTGTATTGACTTTTCAGTTTCTTTGAGTGCGTTTGGTATGAAGGAAAATGTTTCTTGAAAAATAAGTGGGTTTCTAGTGTTTGGGAAGTAAATAAAAAATATTTTCCCAAGAGCATTTATATGTAATCTAGCAAACCCCTATGGGGGTGGGATGAGGTGAGGAGTAGGGGTTCAGGGGGTGGCGTGGATTGGGATGGTCAAGAGGTGGGGGTTGGGGGCGTTGGTGGTTGGAATTTTGAAAGGAGACAACAAACTTGGAATGTCCCTTATGAACTTGTTTTCCCTCGCTTTCATCAGGGAAGTTATTTTCTTCATTTTAAGGAACTTGTTTTCCTAGAGAAAATGTTCCCTAAAATATTTTGACCAACCAAATATTGGAAAATTAGAAAACCCTTTGTTGCTTTTCGAGATTCAGGGGATGTTATGGTGGAATATGCAGGGAGCTTTTGCCCTGCATTATCACTTTCAATAGTTTAAGGAGGTATTTTGCAGGGTCATTTATTAATTTTTACTGCCTCAGAAAAAACTCGTTTCCGTCTCTGTCACAGATTAGTGGTTCCTTTTATCCCCTTATTCTTCCAAACAATGAGAGAAGAACATACTTTTTCTTTTGGATAGGTAATGAGCGAACAACGTTCTTGCTAGGGAAGATATTGACTACTTGATCAATCCTTGTCTCCTTATCTCTAGTTTAGAAAGATTTATGAGACACTTCTATAGTTTGCTTGTGATGCAACCCTCCCCGGACCCTGAATGGATGCAGTGGACTGCCCTCTTTTTTTCTCTTCATAATTTGCTTGATTTGTTTGACTGAGATGAAATGGAACCTTACCTGAGATTACTAATTTCGAGCTAAAACATGTAATTTCTTCTGTGTCTATTTGTAACATTGAAGTTCATTCTTGCAGGTGTAAGACAGGAAAGCACACAACAGAAAAACCAGTGATCGCAACACCATCTGCTACCAAAAATAAAGCAATTCCTGTGCCGGTGAGTGTGCCAGCTCCTATGACCAATGCATCACCGAAAGAAGCCTGTCCTAGATGCCACCAGGGATTCTTTTGTTCTGATCATGGTAAGTCTTCCATTTTCTAACTTCATCGAACATTATACTTTGGAAGACTAGGACAATTCTAGACTTCTAGTTGAGTTTAGCAAAGCTGAAAGGTAGCAGGGGAGGCTGTTCATTCTATAGATGCTGAACTCAAACTTCTCAGTTGTGGCTTCCTAGTAGGTTAATAATAACGAGGAAAAAGTGTGTATTCATTTTCACTCTGCCTTTTTCTACTCCCATTTTAGGGACTCTTGCTTTTAGTACCGACTCTGATCAGTTCTCGTGCTATCATGTTTCATTTAAGGTTCACAACCCAGAGAAGCAATTCCAAAAGCATCAAATGCAGTAACATCTGTACCTTCTGAGAGCAATACAGTTGTACAGCAAGACCATCCAGCTCCAGTGAAGAAGAAAATTGATATAAATGAGCCCCAAATTTGTAAAAACAAGAGCTGCGGTAAGACCTTTACAGAAAAGGAAAATCACGACACTGCTTGTAGTTACCATCCTGGTCCTGCTATCTTCCATGACCGGATGAAAGGAGTAAGTTGATAAATTGATACTGATCTTGTTAAATCTCTTTGGTGCCAAGTTATGCTTCTGTGATATTTTCTGTGTTTATAAAAATTCAAAGAGCACTATCGGAGAATCTCATGTTTTCTGGTTGTCCAATGAATTTGCAGTGGAAATGCTGTGATGTTCATGTCAAAGAATTTGACGAGTTCATGACCATACCGCCATGCACCAAAGGATGGCACAACGCTGACCCAGTGTCCTAATAGATAGGCTCACGGATGAGCCACATATGGCTTGTTTGTTGCATCATTCATCAATCAACCGTCGTTGCTACTGTGGACATTGATTTAATTTTACTTTCGGTCCATCTGCAACCAGTTCTCTGTGGTAAGGTAGACAGCTGAGACTGGACAATCTATAACGTCTGAATTTTTTGATAGACAATTCGGAGAAATAGCTCAGTTAATACATTGTTGAGATTGTTATGACCCGCTTTAGGCCTTCATCATTCGTTACTTGGTATCATTTTACTTCTGACTATGTTACTCGACTCTTTGAAAATGTCAATGGGTGTGTCGGATGCTCTAAAAGTTTGTTAGTCGGGATTTTATTGCACACTATTCTCTCTTGGTGAGATTGCTTTGGGTAAGTTATTGTTGTTGTTCCCATAAATTTTATTTAATTTGGCTAATTCTCGAATGCAAAAGAGCAAATTAAAATAAGGTATCATGAAAAGGATGAGGTACAATGTGAAAATTGAAAGTTCTTTCAGAAAAAATGATAGAAGTTTTGCTTGCACTTGAGCAATAAGCCACACATTGAATTTTAGACATTTATTCTAATTAGAAATAACTTTTAACTTTAAAATTTCTTTTACATTATTATTTAAGATTTATTTTAGATCATAAATTTTAAAAGTCGTTTATTTTTTTGAGTTGTCAAATTCAAATAGGAATTTACATAAAGTTCACTAGTTTAGGTGTTATTAGATATACTTTAGTTTACAATTATGTCTAGTTACATTCAAATACATGTATCTTGGGATACACAGTGTCAAAATTAAGTGTAATTTGTTAATGATACGTTGTATCCAAGTGGATTCACATGTATTTGAGATACATAACAAATCTCGCTCGAAGAGGTGTATGCAGGAGGGGGTCATCGGGTTCATGTGGACCCATGCTCCCCTCCTGAAATCATATATAGTAGTGTTATATTTTTAAATTTTTTGTTAAATATAGATATGTGAACCCACAATCGAAGTATCATATAATAAAATGATGATTGGGTGCACCTCTCAATGACATTAGAAATTTGAATTTTATATCTATCTTGTACTATTTTTCTTTTTAAAATTAGGTAGCACAAGTGGTTATTGGTAGCATTTTTGGCGTTATAATTAATTAATCATTTCAATTTTGGACCTATAGATTTAAAATTTTAACTGTTTTCAACGATACAAAACTAAGTGTCAAACCAATTAGATTTACCTTTTCACAATAGTGCACTGTGCACCCATCATTCCAAAATCCTGGATACGCCTTTGTGACACAGACTGATCATAGTAGGATGGAAGGGTGGTTATATCTAATTCGTTCAAATCGGTTTGGACTTCAGTATTCACGGAAGCGGTACTTTATTCTTCAGGATCAGTATCTTAAGAGCTATAAATCTGTACCAGTTCCTGAAAATGAGGTATAATTATAATATGGGTGTTCATATATTTGAGTATTTTGTAAAATGGTGGTGTTGGATTAGTGAAATTGGTTAAACTATTTTGTTAAGTGTTTGCTGGTAATTTGTGATTTGGGAATTGTTTGATGAAGAACAACGTTCTGATCCATATTTGTAATTTGATTTTCCATTCCAAGTTGGTTGTGTTGTTTCTTAAGCTTATACTAACGAGATTTGCAGTTTCTATGAGTTGCATGTTGTGGAAAATTGGAGGATATATTTCAGTTTAGTTGGAGCCTTGGAGCAATGGTAAAGTTGTCTCTGTATGATCTTTAAGTCATGGGTTTGAGCAGTAGAAGCAGCCACTAATGCTTTGTGTTAGGATAGACTGTCTACATCACACCCCACGGACTATGCCAAAACGGTTGTGCACGGGCTGCCCTTGTTTTCTGAACCCAAAAGATATAGTTTATTACTTTATTCGTTTTGATTCTCAAAGGATTTGCTTGAAGTTGGATGGGTTTGTATAGTAAAGGATGTTTGCAAACCAACTCAAAACATCCTGATGCTAAGTTCTCATTGCCTCAACACGAAATCTTGGAACTTAAGATTTGGCCTCTATATCCTCATTCCACATCCTTGATTGTTGTTTGGAATCAGGGGTGAAGTTTTAGGGGAGATTATGGGGCACGTGAACTCATGGTCTTTCCGCAAAATAGATATTTTATGGACAAATTTTCTAAAATTGGTATAATATTAACTGCACCCATGCTCCAAAATGGCTTAATGGTGCACTTGGTTGAAAATTGAGTTATTTACCAAGAGGAATAGGGATTAGTTCTCACTTAATACATTTTTTTTCCTTTTTGTAGTAGTGCACCCATGTACTAGAAATCCTGAATTCGCCTCTGCTCGCTCGCCTCTCTTCTATCTCGCTCACCACTCTCATATGTATCTGGAATAACAAATCTCGCTTGCTTTCCTCCTCATCTTGCTTGCCTCTCTCCCTATTTAGTGTATCTGGTAGCACAAATACATGTATGTAGGTATATTCTCCTCAATATATGGTAGAAAACTCTTAATTAATGATAAGCTATGCACTATTTTGGAAGTATAGTTAATAATAATATATATGGTAGTGGAGTATGTCGAATTATATAGTTTCCCTAATTCAAATACTGTCACATAAATTGAGACGAGGGCCGAGGGGTAACTACTTAATTGGGCTAGGTTTGGCCCAACTCCATAGCCAAGGCTCAAGAAAAAACATTTTGGTTTTTGTGGATTTCTCACTCATAAAGCCCAGTTCCACAATATCCGTTCTCAGTTTCTTTCCATTATTATTTATTTCACTTTTAATAATTGACGCCAAATCAGGAAAACCCCAAATTTTCAAATTTCAAAATTACTTGTTGAAGAGCCAAGCTCATCATCTCTCTCTGCTGCCGGAAACTCCTCCGGCGATTTCTCTTTTTCCGGCGAGAATATACTGTTGTGAGTTTTTCTCTTTCTCGCTTTTTTATTAATTTTTTCAAATCATTTTCCGTGCTGAAGTTACAAATTATGAATTTCGGAGCTTTGTCTCCACAATTTTGTACGGTTTTTTTCGATGTGTTTCTGGCCTATTAGTATGCATTTCACGTTAGAAAAAAAAAAGCTGTAGAGCTATCGCCGTCGTCTGCAAGTTTTCATTGCTCAAGTGCGAATTATGAATTCTGAAGCTGTGTCTCCACAGTTTTCACTCAGTTTTGTACCTTTTTTCAATTGTTTCGATGTGTTTATGACCATTTAATATGCATTTCACTTTAGAAAAAAAAGTTGTAGAGCTATTGCCATTGTCTATGTGTTATCATTGCTCAAGTACGAATTATGAATTCTCAAGCTGCGTCTCCACAGTTTTTACACAATTTTGTAGGCATTTTTTCAATTGTTTGGATGTACTACTGGCCTATTAATATGCATTTCACTTTAGAAAAAAAAGTTGTAGAGCTATCGCCTTTGTCTACGTGTTTTCATTGCTCAAGTGTGAATTATGAATTCTCAAGCTGTGTCTCCACAGTTTTTACACAGTTTTGTACCTTTTTTCCTATTGTTCAATGTGTTTATGGCCTATTAATATGCAATTCACTTTAGAAAAAAAAAAGTTGTAGAGCTATCGCTTTGTCCACATGTTTTCATTGCTCAAGTACGAATTATGAATTCCCAAGATGTGCCTCCACAATATTTACACAATTTTGTTAGCATTTTTTCAATTATTTCGATGTGCTACTGGCCTATTAATATGCATTCCACTTCCGAAAAAGAAGCTGCAAAGCTATATCCGAGTTTTCATTGTTGAAGTACGAATTTATGAATTATCAAGCTGTGTCTCCACAATTTTTTTACTAGTTAATATGCAAGTTTTCATTTGGTTTTGATGTGTTAACTTTAGAAATGAGCTGTAAAGCTATTGCATCTACACGTTTTCATTGGTCAAGTACAAATTACGAATTCTCAACCTGTGTCTCCACTATTTTTTGACTAGTTAATATGCAATTTTTCATTTGTTTCGATGTGTTAATGGCCTACTAATATGCATTTCATTAAGAAAATGAAAGAAGAGAGATTAGGTCCATGAAAGCTGTAATGCTATCATTGTCTACAAGTTTTCATTACTCATTTTCAATGCTTAAGGTTTTCTGACAAGTTAATACACAATTTTTCATTTGTTTCAATGTGTTAATGGCCTACTAATATGCATTTTATTAGAGTCTCGTATTAGTTTGAGAATGAATTGGTGATTTGCTTATATGGACTTGGGCAATCTTGCCCTCTTGAGCTAGCATTTGGGGTTGAGTTAGGCTCATATGTCATATCTTTACATATTTCAATTGGAAAAAGGAAAAAAAATCAGAGACTAAGGCCATAATAGCTGTAACGTTAGCATTGTCTACAAGTTTTGATTACTCATTTTCAGTGCTGAAGGTTTTTGACAACTTAATACTTAATTTTTCATTTGTTCCAATGTGTTAATGGCCTACTTATATGCATTTCAATTGAAAATAGGAAAAAAATAATCAGAGATTAAGGCTATAAGTCTATAATAGCTGTAACCCTATCATTTTCTACGAGTTTTCTGTATGAATTATGAATTATGAATTATGAATTCCGAAGTAGTGTCTCCTTAATTTATTGATAAGTTCATATGCATTTTTTCATTTGTTTTGATGTGTTAATGGCCTACTAACATGCATTTCATTAAGAAGAGGAAAAAAACATAAATTCTATAAAAGCTGTAATGCTATCATTGTTTATGATTTTTCAGAACTCATTTTCAGTGCTGACTGCTGAAGTATGAACTTTGAATTTCAGAGCAGTGTCTCCACAATTTTCCCATTTGTTTCAATGTGTAAATGGCCCATGGATATGAATTTCACTTAATAAAAGGAGAGATTAAGGTCAGAAAAGCTGTAACACACTACCTACGAGTTTTCAGTACTTTTTTTTGAGAAAGATAATGTTGTATTCCTCAGCATTAAGGATATGCCGGAGACCTCCAAAAATTGGTTTCCAACAAGAGAAAAAAACAAAAAGGCTAATAGATTACAAAGTGCCTATAAAATCCAAAATTTGTGCAGCTTCTTCTATCCCTTCCTCTTTACACCAAAAATAAAGAGCTTAGTAAGAACTTGATAAGAACTTAGTAAGTTTCAAGTAGAATCCTTTTGATTATCCAATGACAAGTTTCGAGTTTAGGCAATCTGAAAATTAAGCATTTGATCAATTTGTTCAAGTGAGCACTGAGCACTTAATTATTTTAATAAGTTAGAGGAATAGATACTCATGATATCTCTAGAACTTAAGAATTCTCTTGATCATTTAATTATAGAGTTGAATATAGCTTAACATTTGAAGAATCATTGTGATTATCCCAATGGCAAGTTTCGATTTTTGGTGATCTGAAATCTAAGCATTTGAATTAGCTTGTTCGAGTGAGCACTTAGTTAATGTTAATAAGTTTGAGAAGTAGATGTTTGATATTTCAAGAACTTAAAAGAATTCTATAGATTATAGACTTGGCTATAGCTAAAAATTTGAACTATTATTAGTGAGTATGAGAATGGAAGGTGGAGTCTTTTTTTTAAAAATAATTAGGAGAGTTATGTCTTTTGAAATTGTATCTTAGGTGAAAAATATTGGGACTAGGCATGCTTTTTTGAAGATAAGACATTAGAAGGACATTACAAAATTGTTACTTCCTTGATCATTCATCATAACAATTGCTTCTTTACATTCCAGGCTGCAGTACTGTTTATGACTAATGCTACAGTTGATGACGAGTGAAATTGCTCACTTTGATTTCAGATTATACATTGTTTCTTTGAAGATAATCTTGTAAGAATTGCTCTTATTTGGTGATTGAAATATCTTTGATATGTCAACTCCTCAAAATGATCCACTCCTGCAAACGGAAACAACATGTGGGTTGTTGCTACATGAACTGCAGGTAATTTTCATGAATATAATGCCACTAACATGTTCATAATTTATTTAGTGGGACCTGCCTTTCTCTTCATGTATCTTTCTTTACTTGTCATATGTTATCTTCTTGATTATTTCATGATGGATAGCATGTCCATTGTCTAATTCTTGCTTTTTTGTTTTTAAAGATTATATGGGATGAAGTTGGGGAGTGTGATACTGAAAGGGACAGAATGCTATTTGAGATTGAAAGAGAATGTCTAGAAGTGTATAGACGTAAAGTGGACCAAGCAAACAAAAGCAGAGCTCAACTAAGGCAGGCAATTGCTGATTCTGAAGCAGAGCTTGCAGCTATCTGTTCTGCAATGGGGGAGCGACCAGTGCATATCAAACAGGTTAGGAATGATGTAGTCAATTACCTTTACAATTTTCAATGTGTGCTTGTTGTATGAAATAGTTATATCACAGTGGCCTTATCTGTAAATAGAAAAATAAACTGTATTGCACTAGTGCAGGTTGGCTTTATTCTTGCAACAGTATTAACTATTAAGATGACCAAGCCAGGCTCCTCTTATATTCTAGAATATACAGAAAACGTTGAATTTCAATACTCTATATATACATATTTAAAGTAAGGTTTGCATTTACCTTCCACTAGATCAGGTAAGGATTTATTTAATGAATATCTTGTATTCAGTCTGACAAGAGCCAAGGAGGTTTGAAGGCGGAACTTAGGGCCGTTCTTCCAGAGCTTGAGGAGATGCGGAAGAGGAAATCCGATAGAAAGAATCAATTCATTGAAGTTATGAAGCAGATAACGAAGATTAAGAATGAAATCTATAGGTTTACTTCTGCAAGCTTGGTAGTGGATGAAAGTGATTTATCATTACGAAAGCTTGAAGAATTGCATACGGAACTGCACACACTTCAAAAAGAAAAGGTTAACAATTTTTCTATCGCATCAAGCCAATTGTTCTCCGACCCCGTCCTTTGACTTAAGACTATTTATTCTCTTTTTTGGCAGAGTGAACGTTTGAAACAGGTTCTGAATCACTTAGGTACCTTAAATTCACTTTGCTCGGTTCTTGGCATGGATTTCAAACATACTATCAATGAGGTTGATCCAAGTCTTGGGGAATCAGAAGAAGCTAAGAACATTTGTGATGATACCATCCAAAATTTAGCAGCTACAATACAAAGACTACAAGAAGTTAAGTTACAAAGGATGCAGCGGGTATGCGGTTGAGTAAATTCTTCTCGAGTTACCTAGCCTTTTTTTAACTCTTTAGACATTGATGACCTACTGGATTTTGCAGCTGCAAGATCTTACTACGTCCATGTTGGAACTATGGAATTTGATGGATACACCTATTGAAGAGCAACAGATGTTTCAGAATGTCACATGTAAAATAGCTGCCAAAGAACATGAGATAACAGAGCCTAACATGTTGTCTATGGAATTCATTACTTATGTGAGTATAGTATCTTTGTGATCATTCTGCTTGACTTTGAAATATTCTACTTTGGGCCTGAATATGATGGATTTTTTTTACTATCAAGGTTGAGGAAGAAGTGGATCGTTTGGAGGAATTGAAAGCAAGCAAAATGAAGGAGCTTGTTCTCAAGAAGAAGTCAGAACTAGAGGAGATCTACAGAAAAACACATATGGTTGGGGATTCAGACGGTGCAATGAATATAGCTATTGAAGCTATTGAATCTGGTATCTAAGTAGTAATCACGTAGAAATTCAATTGATTATTACGTCCTTGTTATGAGATTACTTATATGCTCTTCTTTGTTCATATCTCTGAAAAGGAGCTGTCAATGATGCTGATGCTGTCCTTGAACAAATTGAACTCCAAATAGCTCAAGTTAAAGAGGAAGCTTTTAGCAGGAAAGACATTCTAGACAGAGTCGAGAAATGGATCGCTGCATGTGAGGAGGAGTGTTGGCTTGAGGAGTATAACAGGGTTTGTTTTTCTTTTAACTAGCATTTACATGTTCCATGAAGTAGGCCCAAATGCTTATTCATTACCTTGATTTATTGTCTAGGACGAAAATCGCTACAATGCTGGACGAGGCACCCACCTAACTCTAAAGCGTGCTGAGAAAGCTCGTGCTTTGATTAATAAACTTCCAGGTTTCTAATAATTTCCTCTCCATTTGTTAATGCATATTTGTTCCATATAAAGGTTAGAGAATGATATTTAGTGGTGAATGAATGAAATAAATTAATGTTGTTCAACAGCAATGGTGGAGGCATTGGCCTCAAAAACAAAAGCTTGGGAAAACGAGAGAGGAACTCAATTCTCTTATGATGGTGTAAGCATTTCGTAGCTTACTTTTTAAGATATGATAATGTTGAGGTCCAAGGTTCCATACATGTAGATCTCCCTAAAGTGGTTGTTTCTTTTTGTTAGATTCCTCTCCTCTCTATGCTTGAAGAGTATACCATTTTGCGTGAAGAAAAGGAGCTAGAGCGTAAGAAGCAAAGGGTATGAACTCTCAACTGGCTTTTGGTTGACTTTATATCTTTTCTATTACGGGAAGCCATTAACTTGCACGTGATTCATCTTATCTCAGGACCAGAAGAAACTTCAGGGACAGTTAATGGCAGAACAAGAGTCTCTTTATGGCTCAAAACCCAGCCCTATGAAGAACCAAAGTGCCAAAAAAGGTCCAAAATTGTCATGTGGTGGTGCTCCGAGCAATAGAAGGCTTTCGCTTGGAGGAACAATGCAGCAAACTTGTAAAACTGAACTCCCTCATTCCACTAAAGCTACCCCAAACACACGTCAAGCAAAGAAGTCTGAGCGCTTTCATCAACTTGACCAATTTAATCATCCTACCGATGATGGATTTGGAGCTTTATCAGCAGGTAATCTTCTCCTCACCTCTCTTGAAATACTTTTTAGAACTCATTCCTCTGGAAATTCGGCCCGAGGAAAAAGTCTTGACATACATCTTTTGTACAGATGCATATGCTGTTTGTAAATTCTAACTAGCTTTCTTTTATCATATTAAAGAATTCAAGTGTACTACCCCTTATTCTATTTAATCTTGTTATACTTCTTTGCTTAGGGAGGAGAGGAGGTTTGGGTATAGATGAACTTCCTTCGAAAAAGCAGCCCATCAGTGCAGTAAATGGTTCAGAAGTCGAGACAGCAGTAATGCGGAAGCCTTTCTCACCCATTTCTTCCAAAGGTTCTTCTAAGTCCAATGCAACAAATATATTGGGAGATATGAACAGAAAACATAGTGAAACGATGATAAAGACCCCGCTAAGTAACCATACTACACCAGTCTCCACACCTGTAAAGTCAATTTCTACTTATGAAGAAGAGAATAGAACTCCTGCTAAAGCAATGCCAATTCCTGTGCCTTCTACTCCATCAACCGTATCTGTTCCAATGCAGACGACAACACCAGGTCCTGCTGTTGTTACACCTTACAATTCGAAGCTCGTTGAAAACACCCATGTGGAGGAGGAGATAGAGTATTCCTTTGAGGAGAGTCGGCTTGAGTTTTACCTTCAGAGAACACATATCTAGTAAGTTGTCATACAAGTTAGATACCAACTCAACTATAGACTAAATTGATTGTTAATTAAATACTTTCCGTCTTTTGTATAGACGTCTATACATTTTTGTTGCTATGGTTGAGAAATGTGTAGATACGAAAAAGTAACTGAATTTGCTAATACTTGTCCCCTGATTAGTACAAGATGATGGAACACCAATATTGTTAGGACTATATTGCCTGGACTCTCCAAAAATGTTGATGCACCCATGTCGAATCCTTCCAAAATATGCAACTTTTAAAGGATCCATCAAATATCTGTTGACAATTTTGAAGAGTAAGTCTGACATGGCAGTTGAGACTTATTCTTGTTTTTGCATTTCGTTTTCACACACCTTTGATATAGAGTTGGCATACGTACTTGTTGTCGAACAAATATTTGGCCAACTCAACAACGAGGATATGTACAACTCAAAGAGCTCAACTTTGCACCACAAAAAATTTGGAAATTAAGGGACTACATCGAGTAATGAATAAAAAGAAGACATGGTAAATATGGCAAAGAAGCACATATCAACAACATATCTCGTGTAATTTTACAAGTGGGGTTTGAAGAGTGTATGTAGCCGTTACTCCAAAAATTCACTATACTCAAATTTCACTTTCCATATACACACTGTTATAACATCCTGAAAATATCACAGCTGATGGGTAACGAAGACGATCCATCCAAACAAACCTCGAAGGAAGCAGCTTTATTGTTTAGTCTTTGCCCAGAGGCAAGTGAAACATATGCATTCATCACAAGGGTATTATTTACTGAGAGACCAAAAGAACTATTCAGTGTTGACATGTTGTGCACTGGCTGCCTCCATCATCCCGTTGCGTATTTGCTGACTGATGTCTCGGACATGGCCAGGACAATGTGGTAAGAAAACAGTGGTGTTCTTTGAAGAATTTCCAAGTTCTTTGATTGTATCAAAGTACTGTGTAATCATTATGAGATCCATCACTTCTTTAGCCGAGGTGCCTTCCACTTTGTGAGAGAAATTCAATATGTTCTCTCTCAATCCATCCGTAATCGCCTGCCTCTGCCTAGCGACTCCAACGCCGCCTAAATACTTGGCTTCCGCCTCAGCTTCTGCTTTCTTAACTTGGAGAATCTTTTCTGCTTCTCCCTTGTATACACTAGCAAGTTGCATTCTTTGAGCTACAATACAACATACGACATGCAAAGGAGAAGAGTACACATTAGAGCCAAGAACAGTTTGTCTGCACGATCAACACAACAACTACTTGGAAGCTATGTTGCTCAAACTCTTCAAAATAATCGAAGGGTGTGCGTCAAATCCTCCAAAAGTAGTGCATTTTGGAGGATCTGACATGGGTGTGGCATCATTTTTGGAGAGTATGGCAACATAGCTTGGAGGCACTCTTTAAATCGAAGTTATCAACACTTGAAATTTCCCTAATATGTTTGCCCATCTTTATCATAAATTCATGAAGTACTTTCAGAAATGGCATAAATATAAAAATCTTTGGCTTTCCCCACACCAGATGCATCCGTTATCAGCACAACACACAATTATATTCCGATATGTACGACAGAACTTTGAAAGAGCAAATACTCAAGTAAATATAACCAACAATCTATTTTATACCTACTGAAGAGGTTGGGAAAAACTCCTTTTGAATTAGGGTGTGTTAAATTGTTTAAACTAGATATTGTGTTCATTTGCAACACTAGGAGCATTCCATTACCTGCATTTATCTCATTCATTGCTTTCCGTACAGAGGAGTCGGGAATAATGTCAACCATCAGTATGTGCTCAATATTGTATCCATATGCTCCCATCACCTGACAGACACACTAACATCAGGATATATCTTGAAGAGGAACACAAATTTCTATTATATAGTTGGAATTTCATGACCTTTTTGGCTCTACAATGCAAAACTGTCAAGTACCAAAAGATCAAGCAAAAATAAACAGCATATTTCCCTTTCAATATTGGTGACGACAGAAACAATTCTATGGAAGTGCAACATTTGGAATGCGAAGCACCTTCGCCTGAATTGTGAATATAACCCAATGAAAATCTATATCATAGGTGGAAGAAATAAATAAATAATAACTTAGAAACAGAAGAAGTGCTGAAAGAAAACCCCAAGAATTTGTGGAGTACTTCAAATAATTATTTTCTACTGAATCGCACTCTAGTACATGGATATCCACAATGAGAGGCACTTGCACGAACAGATCTCATCAAGCAAGCACGTGCCAATGGTCCAAGACAAGTCATCCGATGGATCTAAACTTTTTCATTTCTTGTTTAAATTTTAATGGCATTTGAAGCCTTAAATTCCAAAAGTGTGGACTTTGATATTCAGAAAATACATGAAGAAAAGAAAAACACAAACATAAGCAGCAGCGACATTTCTTTTCTCAGTTATAAATCAATCATTCAACTGTGCGCCAATCCTAAACGGCGAACAAATTTGAGAAAAGCACAAACAACCCCAAAAATATTAGGCAGAAGATCCTATTAAGCAGGGTACTAAACCATAAAATTGGAAGAGGACAGCAATATAAGATGATGTAATGCACCTCCACATTGCGGGACAAAAGGAAATGCAGAATGGTCATAGTGCGTGTACAGGCTTGTTTTGGAGTAACGTTATTTTCCTTGTGCCTAACCTGTCCAGAGCGATTTCTCCACTCTCCTATGTCATTTTGCATAGATAATAAAGTTTAAAGATTCTATTCACCTAAGAGTCAAAATACAAAAAGTAAATAAGGGAATTGTACAGGATCAGCTAAAACCTTCAGTTGAGCTTAGAAGGATCTACAGAGCATGAAATTACCTTCTCAAGTTCCTCCAAGACGGCCTTAGCAACTTCATCCTTCTGTTCGAAAAGCTCGTCCAAATTCAATTTGGGTACGTGGGCTCGAACAACTAGAATAGATATAAGGAACATCGAAAGAGATGTGTGTCATCAAAATAGCATAAATAGACAAAATTCTATGCCATATAAAAAGGGATGCGTAACACAGCAAATTACCATCGAACACATAAGCCTGAATCTGTTCCCTTGGATTTTGCAACTCATAGAAAGCATCATCAGCATTTTCCCTGATTACTCTATATTGGATTGAGCACAGCATTTGAACAAAAACATTGTCCTGAAAATTTCATTCCAGTCAAAGTTCTCCGAAGAAAGAAAAGAATCGCTCATTTTTATCTAAAGTTCCTAACATATAATTTTTCATCATCCATCATGTCAACTACTTTTTACCAATTACCTAAGTACTACAAGAACAGTAGCTTCATAGCGAAGAGTGAAGACAATAGTAAGCTCACAGAGACCTCACAATACCAGCCATTAAAATACATAATCTAAAAATTTTACCACTCTTCATGCAGCCAAAGAGTGGTAACTAGACATTGATGCTTGTGATAATGTAGGCTGCCTACATTACACTTCCTTGGGGTTCGCCCTTCAGCATCGTGCATGAATGCAGGATATTTCACATACCAGTGACTGTCTTTTTTTATGCAACCAAAGCCCCAACTATTATGTTTTGATGATAGTGGTGTCCGTGCCTGCACCTTAACTAATTGCAATGCTGCCTCTCACTAACAGGTAATTTTATCCACCAAAGCTTGGACAAATGGACAAAACTCACTTAGTGATTTTGCCTCCACCGGTGAATGTGAGACCTCGTGGTTCTCGACCACTCCATTGACCACTAAACCACCCCTTTGGATAACCAACGTCCCAATATTTAATAGAGACAGACCGACTGAAACATGATAGAGTGCAAAATACAATAGGAAAATCCAATGAAAATCAGGAATTATTAGCATTGTAAGGCTCTCTTACTCTGGGTTTAGTCTCAATTTCGACATCTAGAGAGCAGGTCCTAGTTGAGAGAATTCCAGAAAGGCATTCACCAGCCAAGAATTGAAGAAATGGAGCCCCAGTTCTTCGATCCTATCGAAGCGACCCCATTTCTCCACCACACTTGCGTTCTCTTATTCTATGCATCCACAGAATGCGCAATATACATTCCCTATTTGCCCTTCCCCGAACCCTATGTGAATGCGGGATGCTTCATGCCCCAGACAACTCTTTTCTATGCAACTAAAGCCCCAATATTCTTTAATTTTTAATAATCATGGTGTCCAGGCTAGTACACACGTGCCTCGACTAATTCCACAAGCATCATCTACCTCACACCAAATACAGGTACCAGGTAACTCTATCCATCAAAGCTGAGATATATGAATAAATTCAACTAGTGTTATTGCTTCTACTCGGATTTGAACATGAGATCTCATGTTTCTCAATCCACATTATTAACCACTAAACAATGAAGTGCAATATTTAACAGACATGATAGAGTGAAAATCACAAAAGGAAACATACATTAGACATGAAGAAACACAAATTAAAAAATAATAATCAGAAATTGGCATGGTAAGTCTTCTCTTACTTTGGTTTTCGTCTCGATTTTAACATCAAGAGAACAGATCCTAGTTGAGAGAATTCCAGAAAGACATTCACCAGCCAATGGATTGAAAAAATGGAGCCCCGGTTCTGCAAGCCTATCGAAACGTCCCCATTTCTCCACCACACCTACACTCGCTTGTTCTATACATCCGCAGAATATACAATATGCATTCCCCATTATCCTCTTCCTCCTCCTCCTCCTTCTGCTGTATTTGCCTTTGCCGTTGCCCGACGACGGAGCAAGCGGAATTGCACCGATCTGACTACCGCCTTCTCTTCGCGGGTTTTGTTTTCTCTAACTTGTGTTTTTTCTTTACCTTGGAGGTTGGGGATAAATTCAAATGTTAATTACAAAATAATCACTTTTTAAGATAAAAAAATATTTTCACTTAAAATATAAAATATAAGTTGCGAGTTTTTTTTTTTTTTTTTTTTTTTTATGACAAGGGAAATCCGCAGCCACTACCCTTTGGGTGTGCTCAGGGCAAAACCCCCGCTCCTATGCAATAGCTCGCAAATCACATAGAAGAAATAACCCGCACTAGGCAAGCCCGGTGCGACGAGCTCGACCCAGAAGGAATGAGTTATATGGTGTAAAAGAAGGAATTCATTTTTTATTATATGGTGTGTTTGGATTGTGAAATTTCAATATCGAATAAGTTAGGAATAGCCTTAATGGAAGATAAGAGGTTGGAAAAACGAGAGTGAGAAATTTGGGAATATGAACGGAAGATATACGTGTTTCAATGTAGACGTGTGAGGTTGGATATGAATAGCTTCAAAAGAGAAGTATAGGAGATCGAAGAAATATTAACACAACTTCAATTTATCGATAACATAACTTTAAATTGAAGGCTACTGAGGATGCACACTAAGTTGAGGACTAGTAGATAGTTATCATTGTGTCACTTATCGTTCAATACTAGTAGTTGTAGTTTTTAAATTTTTAAATTTCTTTTTTTCGATCTAGTAGATAGTTGATCATTGTATCACTTATCCTTCCACTTTGATTGTAATATTATTTTGTAGTTAATATTCTTTTTTTTTAAATATTTTGTCATGCTAATTTTAATAATGTATTGTGGCTTCTTTATTTTTGTATTTCTTTTACCAACCTACTTTTTATGTTTTTTCTCAAACTAAAAATCCTTCGCAAACAACTTTTCTACTTACAAAATAAGGGTAAATCTCCATACAAATTATATTTTTCATACTTTATTTGTAAGATTACACCGACATATCTTTGTTATTGTTGGAGTGAAGTTTAGTTAGATAAAAATAGAATGAAAATTAAACTATAAAACTCACATTTTTTTTTAATAATTTCATTAATATGGTTTTGAAATTTGAATAAATTAGTTAAACACCCCTCAAGTTAATATAATCACAACCCATTTCATCTGACAAAATCCAAAGAAGAAAAGAAAAAGAGAAAGACAAAGAAGACGAAGAGCACAATGGGGAAAGATCTGAGCAACGATCAAATCTCCTCCATGAAGGAGGCATTCACTCTCTTCGATACCGACGGCGACGGCAAAATCTCACCGTCGGAGCTAGGTATCCTAATGCGTTCACTTGGAGGTAATCCGACTCAAGCTCAACTCAAATCAATAATCGCCGAAGAAAAACTCACATCGCCGTTCGATTTCAACCGGTTTTTGGAACTCATGTCGAAACATCTAAAGCCAGAGCCATTTGATCGCCAATTACGCGATGCGTTCAAGGTACTTGATAAAGACTGTACTGGTTACGTTGTTGTTTCGGATCTAAAGCATATTTTAACTAGTATTGGTGAGAAGCTTGAGCCTTCGGAATTTGATGAGTGGATCCGAGAAGTTGATGCTGGATCCGATGGTAAGATCCGGTATGAGGATTTCATTGCTAGGATGGTTGCCAAGTGATTTTTGCATGTGAGTTGCTTCTATCAAACTCCCTTGAAATTTTCATATTTGCAATGTCTTATCAAATATTTTGTTTTAGCTTGTTATTCATATCATTTTCAGTAGTTATACATATATACCAGTTTTTGTAAATTCAAAATTCAATGTAGTCGTTACAATCAGTGGCCTAGGCAGAATTTTCAGCAAGCAACGTCGATATTTGTAGAAGAAAGTAAGAAGTTATCCTTGACCCATTGGTTTAGACTAGCCTTAAGCTGGAAGAGCTCTTGGGCTCAATACTACTTAGCCACAATCTTAAGTAAGTAGCATGTTATATTTTGTAAAAATATACTTGGGGTTGAGGTTCGAATGTTTAACCTCAAACAAAAATACTGGACGCTGAACCAACACGCCAAGTTTAAGACCTTTGTTGTTGTGCTGATGCCTACTTTGCAATTTCATATTTGGAAAGCAAAGAGATGGAGGAAAAAGTGTTATTGTTGGTTGGAGGATGCATGTACTAGGTAGGATAGTCGAGAATCATGCTAGCTAGCTCTACCACCACCAGTATCCTAGAAAGAAAGAAAAAATTGTGGCAACTACATGACCCTAAGCTCAACTTATCATGATCAAGGTTATGCTGAACTATAAAGTGCAAGTTTTATGAAGTACATGGTTTGGTAAAACTAGGTGGAATAGTGCATCTTATTTCTTTGCCCGGCCCCCTCTTTGTTTTTCGGTTGGATATACATCCCCCTAAAGGATTGAAGATTAGTTGCAGTTGCTGCATGCACAGGTAGAGATAGAAGCCCGGATACGGGTTAGGTCGAATCAAGTGGCTTTTGTTCAAATAGTGCATTTGTGTTAAGAAATTCATTTAAATATGTATACATATTAAATATAGAGCTTAGTTATTACCAATTGAAGCCATTCTTATAAAATTTAGATCCCATAAATTTGGAATCCTGGATCCACCTTTGGCCGCATGTTTCATATTTATATTTCATGTTGAAAAATATTGTGTCAAGTCTTTTTGGGGAAAATCTTGGTGTTTCATCTTTTGATGGTTGATATGCTAAAAAGCTCATCTAAGGTAAGTGCACAATGACAAGTGGGGTGGGCACAATATTGAATGGCTGTGTGGGTGCTGAATAGTTGCAGCAGAGTAATGTTGTTAGAAACAGCTAAGGGTGACCCTCACCATAAATGGTGATTTTCAGATAGCTTTTTGGTGCATTCAGAATGAATGATAATAGAGCTAAGCATTAACTTATCAAAAAAAATAAAATGATAAGCATCAATTTGGATCTTCCGTGGTTATGCATTTTAGTCAATTTGGAAAAGGGAGAGATTAGCTTCATCCGACGAGTTGCATCGTTGTTTTTTCCACTCATGTGACTTTGTTAAATGAAGCTAGAATGATGTTCTTAATACCTTTTTTTTTTTTTTGAGAAAGCATGTTCTTCTTAATACCCATGCAACTTCATTTGTTGTATGTGAATGTTAAGGGAACAATAACTTTGGATGGTTCATTTAAGTGATGAATAATCGACTTACTAAGCACTCACCAAAATGACTTGAAAAATGCATGGGGAAAAACAAAAATATAAGAGGCTACGATAGAGAATGGAAAGTAGAATTAAAAGAATATAACCAATTTTCTGCAGCAGATCCCTTGAATTGCATCGTTGAAAAGAAAAATTATTAGATACTTTATAATTGACCATTTCAGTTAAACCTAAACACCATTGTTATTCCTTTATATTTTTGCTTACAGTTGAGGTGCTCACATGATGACTTGGATACCTCCGTTATTAAAAAATCAAATCAAAGATAACTTATAAAAACTTAAGGGTGTGACCTAGTGGTCAATAAAGTGAGATTTTAGAGCCCGTTTGGATTGGCTTAAAAGTTGGTCAAACCTACTTTTAAGTCAGTTTTTGACTTCTGGAAGTGTTTGGCAAACATAAAAAATAACTTAAAATAAGTCAGAAACCAAAAGTAGGTCTCCCCCTACTTTTTATTTTTTGACTTAAAAGTCATTTCAGTTTGGCTTTTTATTTTTGACTTAAAAACTACTTTTTTTAAGCCAATCCAAACGGGCTCTTAATCATGGAAGACCACAATTCAAACCCTAGCAAAAGCAAAGAACGCTTGATGATTTCTTTCCCATCTACCTAACCCTTGATAGACAAAGTTGCCCGGTATACTATTCAGAGATAACAAATAACAAATACCCTGGTGGTATAGTCAAGGTACAAAGAAAGCTGCTCGGACACCACCATAAAAAAACTCAAAGATAACTTGAGTTTTGAGAAATAGACAACATGCAAGACTGATAATTAGTTATATAGTTATAACCGAGTAAATCCTGCCTCCAAATTGCTTTACTTGACCACCATATTTGGTGTTGGGAGGTTGGGGGAATCATGACCTTTATGTATTATAACCTAATATATTTAACACTAAAAATAAACTTGAGGCGGAATGGAAACAAGTTATTTGCTGATGTTAAGATGCAGGAGTAAGAAGTTATAAGAGATGACATGTATCATGCTTAATTTTGATCAGTAATAAGATTGAGTTAAATGTTCTTAACTTTCCTGACTTTGCTTAATTCTTACTTGCAGGAGATTTGCATCTTTGGCTATATTACTCAATAGCAAGAAACAGGACCTAACTTTGCCCTTGGTAGCTTTGCCCTTTCATTTGTATGTTTAAGTGTATCTTTCATTAGCCATTTTGCTAATTGTCGATTTTATTGTATTTTCCCCTTGCACTGTCATGGAACAACTCATTGTTCAGATGTTTGGATTATATCCGAGTATGTGGTATACAATCGCTTCTTGCAATGTTAAACCAGTTATGTATAGTTCAGATGCCATGTATCTTTAACTCAGCGCGTCAATGCTTTTACTTGTTGTAGTGGAATCTCTTGTTCAGTTATTAAATCAAAACTTCAGCAGTGATGAATTTTTATGTGTATTTATGGAGTAATTTTCATGTAACATCAATCGAAATAGCAAGAACCGTATGCTTTGATAGTATTATTTCTGCTAGTGTATGCTATAAAGGGTTGTTTTTTGAACTGCTTTTACTTGAGTGAAGGTCTATCGGGAAAAAAACATCTCTACCCCCAAGGTAGGGGTAATGATTGCGTATGCAGTACCTTCCTCAGACCCCATATATGAAATTATACTGGGTATGTTGTTGTGAATGCTAAAGGGTGACAATTTGGGATCATCATCTTATTACTACTTGAACAAAACAGAACTGTCAAAATAGGAGTTAAAAGTTCAAACTTTTAAGAAGCAGCAGCAGCAAGTCCAGAAATTTGTCAAAAATCGGTTAATATTTAAATAACTTATATAAACCAAATAGTATATTATAAATTGGGGTACTACAGCCCGGGAATTACGCCTAATGACATTGGAAATAAATGATCTTGAACTTTTGAGACGCTCTGATAACGAGATCTTCAAGCTTAAAAAGCCAAATTTGTTAAATTAGAAATTTTGCCTATGAAGCAAAGCAAGGTTAAAAGTTCAAGATCATCCACTTTTAAAGTTACTTTTTTTATAAATCACCCAATTACGAGAGGTTACCTAGTGTCATTTCAACCTGAATGACTCCTAAAAGAGTACGAGGCTTAACTATAACAACGCACTCCATTAGTGATATTATCAACTTTTGATCTAGACTTGCACGATTTGACAGCGTGTTGTTAAAATTGCGATTTAATTCATGTCTAATGAAGCGTAAGTTATACGATACAAAAAGCATTAAGTTACGTTTCGTGAATAAAATGATTTGTTATTTCCATAAATTAAAACAAAAGTGCAAATGACCCGTTGGATATCTAAAGATGCCAGACCCAGAATTTAACGGCCCAATCCTTTCAGCAAAATTGAAGCCCAAAATACCGACTACTCCCATAAACCCTAGGAGAAACAACCATTTAGGGTTTGTTAACTTCCTTCAACCGACCGAAGCTACGCTTTGAGCAACACAGTTCAGTGAGCTCACTCTAATCTTCGCCATGGGTCGTATGCACAGTCGCGGGTGAGTATTTTCTCCATACTTTTACTTCGAAGCAAAATAATTATTTTTTTTCACCATTTTTGGTTGTTGGGTTTCAGTAAAGGTATCTCAGCGTCGGCTCTTCCTTACAAGAGAACTCCTCCCAGTTGGCTTAAGATCTCCGCTCCAGATGTAAATTATCTACTCTTTTGTTGTTTTCTGTTTTTAATAGGCGTTTGGACATGAATTTGGTGATATTTGAAAATTTTAGTATTTAAATTAAGTTAAAAAAGTATATAGGAAAATTGAATTTGTGTATCTGGAATGTTGAAGTTTTATTAGTGAAAAGAGTTCACTTCAATGTATAAGCAATACACTTTATATGTCCAAACAGTCCCTTATGCTTTGATTGAATGGTTGTTACATATCTTTTCATAATATATTGTGTCGTATTGTATTGATGAATGCAACTTTTAGGTAGATTGTATAGTTTTCCGTGGTTACATAACGGCATACATGTGCAATTTGAAATACCTACTTATAAGAAAAGTAGGGCATAGGTTAGAGTTATTATAAAAGAGATAGGGTATAAATAGTGAAATGTCCAAACGAGTTATTAAGGTGGATACATAGTGAGCAAGTGATTCTGCTTAGAAGATGCTTCATTCAAAAGAATTGGCAAAAGAAGGTAGAATAAGACTATTAGATATAAGTAAAGATAAAATGAGAAGAAAAAATAAGGTAACAATGCGATCACACCAAATTAGTTGTTACATGAAATGGGTACATTTCATCATTAGGTAATGATGGATTTAACGATACAATACAATAAACTTTAAATAACAATCAAAACAAACATTGTATTTAAATTAACAATATAATTCAACAGGTAACAGCCATCCAAACAAGCTGTTAATGTGTACATCCTTATATAGGAACAACGAACAAATAGATATTAAGATCAATAAATGAATGATTGTGTTTAGGTAACAACCATCCAAACAAGCTGTTAATGTGTACATCTTCATATAGGAACAACGAACAAATAGATGTTAAGATCAAATATATGATTGATTGTGTTTTGATAATTTTAGGTTGAGGACAATATCTGCAAGTTTGCGAAAAAAGGATTGACACCTTCACAAATTGGTGTGATTCTTCGTGATTCTCATGGAATTGCTCAAGTTAAGAGTGTCACTGGGAGCAAGATTTTGCGTATCCTCAAAGCTCACGGTATTTTATTATATTTTTCCAGATCATCAATGCTGCTAGAAATTCAACTGTGGTTAGATTTAAATAAAATTTGGTTTAATATATCAATTAGAAGGAAATGTGCCCCAATAGTATGGAATATATCCATAATTCACTGTTTAGTTTGGAATTAATGAGCAGTTGATTGATTTAATATATGTATTTTTTTTGACAATTGGATAGGACTTGCTCCTGAGATCCCGGAGGATCTATACCACCTTATTAAGAAGGCAGTTGCCATCAGGAAGCATTTGGAGAGGAACAGAAAGGACAAGGATTCCAAGTTCCGCTTGATTTTGGTGGAGAGTAGGATTCACCGCCTTGCTCGTTATTACAAGAAAACTAAGAAGCTTCCACCTGTCTGGAAATAGTAAGTCTCTCTCTTTCACTCCTAACAATGTGACTTTGCATTTCCCCTTATTCCGTGGTTTGGTTGCTTTTGGGGTTCGTTATTTTCAGAAATATTAATCTTTAACTTTTGTGGTTGTGTCATTCTTTGTGGCTTATGTTTGCTATATGATTAAGGGATTGGATGAACCGTAAGAAAAGAGAAGGAATAGATAGAACATTAGTACTGTATCTTTATAAAGATAACCTATCTTAATGTTCCCTGTCTATTCCTTTCTTGTGCGGTTCAATGTGAATGGCTTCTAAATTATGATTCGCTAGTTATGGTGCATATTTGTTCCACATGGCAAGGATCTTTTTGAAGAATAAAGATGAAACATTGCTTTCTTTGTTGTATTCCTATCTTACTACTCCAAATGAGATACCTTTTAGTCAGTTCTTCTTCATCCTGGTAAGGACTTTTATGAAGAGTCGAGCTAAAATGCTGGTTTACTAGTGTTATGATTCTGGTACCAATTTGAAGGCCAAACATTTATTGACATGTTGCTATTGTTTGATGCTGATTTATTCCACCTTAGAGTTCCACCCCAGAAAAAATTAGTCGTTGGGTTTGATTTGCATACCTGGGTAAAACCCTTTGTTGTTACTCATAAATTTTTTATATGACTTTTAGTTCATAATATTTTACTATTTCATTATACTTTGGCTGTAAGTTAGCACAGCCAAGTTACCCTTATTCCCTCAAAACCACTGAACTATAGTCCAAGTAGCCCTTTTCATAGTCTCCACACTCTTGTCAGTACCTTTTCTTCAGGAGCCAGCTTGCACTAACTCAAGCCAATTTCAAAATCTACTTTGAGAAGTGCTTTTTGTTAGAAGTGTTTTCGGACTCTTAGAGAGTAGTAGTTTGTTATTGGCTAATTAATATGAAAAACCCCTTTATAAGCATGAGTAACAAATATTTCAACAAAGAATTTGAGAAAAAAAAAAACTAATCCTAAAGTGAAAATATCAATTGTTTAGCGTCACCTCTTCAAAAGATGCTCCTTGGCAAGAAAACACCTTAGAACCTTGATGATGACATTGAACTCACATTAAGTGAGATCAAGTGCACAACTCGTTTCAAGCCTTGCTTTAGGGCTTAAGCGCACTTTAAGCATGCCTTTGACAATTGATCAAGCTAGTGTATTCTAGCGTTCCTATAAACAACCTTTTTACTGATTATGAATGTTTTCATTATTTTACAGTGAGTCTACCACAGCAAGTACACTAGTAGCTTAAACTGAGACATGGATGGATTATAATCTTTGAGAAGATTGATCAGCTGAAGTTTCTTCTCTATGTATTCGAATAGTTCTCAGGTCCATTTTTTTGAATTTTGATACTTAATGGTGATAGTTTCTGGATACTTTCTCCAACTTTTACTAAATGTTATGCATAGATGCTTTAATTTGGGTATTGATGTCAATTTCTTTCGACTACTCAATAAATATCCAGCTCTACTCAGCCTTTTCTGGTTCACCCCAACATTCCTCACTTGTTCGATTGTTGCTAAGCCTTGGGATGTGACGGTGGACTTAAAAAGCCACCTATAGACGCTTTATGCCACTCACCACTTTGGATAATGCTTTGTATTATTACTATGGCTGTTGGCTGGCACAGAGTTAATCGATGCTTATTCCCTAGACTAGATACTTAATGGTGATAGTTTATGGATACTTCAACTTTTGCTAAATGTTATGCATAGATGCGTTAATTTGGGTATTGATGCCCAACCTTTTCTAGTTCACCCCAACATTCCCCACTTGTTCGATTGTTGCCAAGCCCTGGGATTTGACGATAGACTTAAAAAGCCACCTATAGATGCTTTATGTCAATCACCACTCTGAATAATGTTTTGTATTTTTACTATAGCGATTGGCTGGCACAGAATAAATCGATGCTTATTCCCTAGATATTATTATTTGCTTCCTTGAGGATATTTATATTAATTATTCTAATCGTGAATTTTCAAATATCTCAAAACGATATGAACTAGTAATTTTGAAAAGGAAAATTTTATAATAGAAAAACTAGAACAGGTAAGAGAAACAATAAAGGGATGTTACAGATAGTAATTACTTATTCATGTATGATATTTATGTCAAATAAAGCAACTTAATTGTAGTAATTAAATGCTTATTTTAAATACATTATTATGTGATAAATATATTCATGAATGACATATATTTTATATATAAAAATATATTCTTACTCTGAAGAGAGGAATCGTAATGTTCA